TTACCCTGTTGATGTGACACGAAAAGTCGAAACCAATCCTTGGCTGTAAACATTTGAGAGTTCACAAAGTTGGTTCAAGCAAGCCCTGACCCTGCTGATGTGACACGAAATGTCGAAACCAATCCTTGGCTGTAAACATTTGACAGTTCACAAACAGTTGGTTCAAGCAAGCCCTTACCCTGCTGATGTGGCACGAAAAGTCGAAACCAATCCTTGGCTGTAAACATTTGACAGTTCACAAACAGTTGGTTCAAGCAAGCCCTTACCCTGCTGATGTGACACTAAATGTCGAAACCAATCCTTGGCTGTAAACATTTGAGAGTTCACAAACAGTTGGTTCAAGCAAGCCCTTACCCTGCTGATGTGACACGAAAAGTCGAAACCAATCCTTGGCTGTAAACATTTGAGAGTTCACAAAGTTGGTTCAAGCAAGCCCTTACCCTGCTGATGTGACACGAAAAGTCGAAACCAATCCTTGGCTGTAAACATTTGACAGTTCACAAACATTCATTCAGACGCTGTCTCCCCGACAGACCTGGTCTTCACCTGAGGACGGCTGCTTGCGTTGTGGCCGAAACGTCGTGAGAATTATTTTATTATGTTTTATTTTTATTATTTTATTATTTCCATTCTACGTGACTTTACCGAAAGAACCAAGAAGATGAATCCCTGCAGTCACGAAAGCTTTATATCGAAAGGGATGGAGATGGTTTAGTGTTGTGTGTGTGAGTGATTTGTTTACCTTTCGTGTACTACCATCATGTGTTTGTGCTGTTTGTTGTTGTAACGTTCTTACCCGCCGCTACTGGACACCTGTGAAAAGAGCTTCATAGCTCATCGGATTCCTCCAGTACAAATACACATTCTGGTTCTGAACCCAATGCTGCTGGATCCGTGCATTCCCAGATGGAATGCCGTGTGACTGATGGAATATGAAAAAAACAGTGTACAGTATTGTTGTTTATGTGGAAGGACAGATATGGGTAGGAGAAGTCGAATTGTAAATGGATTCGCTTCGCTACGAACGTCATTGTGTGCCCGTAGGCGCAACACACAGGGGCCTTTAAATCCTGTGGGTAACTGATAACATCTTAACCCTATCAATGTACATTTGAATTTATACCAAACGTAAGATGATGTCATTGGCAAATAGTACACCATATGGAACTTTCACCAGGCAAACGAGGATTTATTTAAACGTTTTTATTTGTAAAAAAAATAAATTGCATGGTGTTTGAGTAACATTTGGGTGGTTCGCAGGTCACTGTTGTGATATCGGCTCGTGTGTGGAGGTGCTGGGTGGATTATTGAAGCGTTGCACGACTATTGAGAGACGGCGGCGGCTTGGGGAGACCTGCATCCATCAGTGGATAGAACACGGCTGCTGCTGCTGCTAACGAGGATGTCAATTCGTGGATGTGTCCTGTCGGGTTTTAGTCGCTGGTAGGTAGAATGGAGTAAGGTGGCACCTTAGTACATATTCACTTTAAGATGTTTCTTGTTCATGTTTTAGTTTTTTGTTTGTTGCGGTTGCACCCGATTCAAGAGCCGAATGGCTCACAGGGCTATACCTAATAAATGAACTTGAACTAGTAATTCTAGATTTGAAGCTTTCGTGATTGCAAGGATTCATACTCTTAGTTCTTTCGGTAAAGTCACGTAGGAAAAAAAATGAAATTAATAAAAACTAAAAACAATAAAATCACGACGTTTCGGAGGCAAACACAAGCTTCCGTCTTCAGGTGAAACTGTCACAGCAAAAAATCTGAACTAGTAAGCATGCAAACGGTTGGCCCAACGTTCCATGTTTACTGTGACGTTACTTAGGGACTCATTTCGCCTCCGCCAAGATGAATCAATGTTCGCTGTGAGATGAATCATTTAGCAGCTGGGGCGTGTGGCCAAGTACGGCGATAAACTCAACAAATTATAATTGAAATCATCTCAGAAGTCCCGAGTTATCCTGTTCCGCGAGACACACGGGGCTGATGCACTGCTTACTACAGCAATGGTTTCGAATGGATAATACTGGGCCTCGTGACATTTAGCTGGAATACAATTGAGAAAGCCGATTTAAAATGAGCGAGTGGTTACACTACCTATGGACAATAGGGGCCATCCATAAATGACGTCACGCGATTTTAGACGATTTTTGACCCCCCCTTTCTTCATATGGCGTCACAAAAAGTCAGACCCCCCCCCCTCAAATATGACGTCACAAAGCTCTGCCCCCCCCAAAACCATATTTCCATTTTTTAAATAAAACATGCTTCACATCGCTTTAAACTATTGTCATTGTAGTGTGTATTTAATGTGGCGCTGCACTGATGTTGTAGGAGAAAAAAATTATTACAAAACAATTTAATTAAGTAGAACGTGTTGTCTATATTTATATAAAGTTGCGCATTTTGATGTGACGTCACATTTCTCACCCCCCCCCCTCGTCACAGATCGTCACAAATGTCTGACCCCCCTCCCCCAGGTGCGTGACGTCATTTATGGACGTCCCCATATCAGAATATTTATTTATGCGCTGGAGGAATGTCACCATTCGGGCACGCCCTCATCCAGCTGGTGGATTGACCGTGGCTGATGCTGAATTTGTGAATGTTTTCTGTGCAAAATGTTTATAAATAAAAGTTGTCCTCCCGAGGATTTTCGTTGTCCTCTCCGCCGCTTCCACGTGGCGGCCGCCACGTGGCGCTCTTCCCGCGCTTTTTTTACTTTCTCGCGCGCGCGCGCGCCCCGCACTTAAATTCCCTCGCGCGGGCGTGACGTCACGCGCGGGTACATTCCCCAAAGCGGATAGGGATAGGCGGCGCCCGCCGACCAATGGTAGCGCGTCCCGAAGCAGCCCGATCGCGCGCATCCGTGGTAGGAAATATAGAGCGGGGGCGCGGCTCTCGCGTCCCAGCCCGCGGCGGTGGTGGTGCTGGTGCCAGGCGAGGGGTGGAGGAGGAGCGAGAGTGAGTGAGGAGGTGGAGGGTGGTGGTGAGTGGGTGAGGAGGTGGAGGGTGGTGGTGAGTGGGTGAGGAGTGAGGAGGTAGAGGTTGGTGGTGAGTGGGTGAGGAGGGTGGTGGTGAGTGGGTGAGGAGGGTGGTGGTGAGTGGGTGAGTAGGTGAGGAGGTGTGAGGGTGGTGGTGAGTGGGTGAGGAGGTGGAGGGTGGTGGTGAGTGAGTGAGGAGGTGGAGGGTGGTGGTGAGTGGGTGAGGAGTGAGGAGGTAGAGGTTGGTAGTGAGTGAGGAGGTGGAGGGTGGTGGTGAGTGGGTGAGGAGTGAGGAGGTAGAGGTTGGTGGTGAGTGGGTGAGGAGGGTGGTGGTGAGTGGGTGAGTAGGTGAGGAGGTGTGAGGGTGGTGGTGAGTGGGTGAGGAGGTGGAGGGTGGTGGTGAGTGAGTGAGGAGGTAGAGGTTGGTGGTGAGTGGGTGAGGAGGGTGGTGGTGAGTGGGTGAGTAGGTGAGGAGGTAGAGGTTGGTGGTGAGTGGGTGAGGAGGGTGGTGGTGAGTGGGTGAGTGGGTGAGGAGGTGTGAGAGTGAGGAGGTGGAGGGTGGTGGTGAGTGGGTGAGGAGGTGGAGGGTGGTGGTGAGTGGGTGAGGAGTGAGGAGGTAGAGGTTGGTGGTGAGTGGGTGAGGGGGTGAGGAGGTGTGAGAGTGAGGAGGTGGAGGTTGGTGGTGAGTGGGTGAGGAGTGAGGAGGTAGAGGTTGGTGGTGAGTGGGTGAGGAGGGTGGTGGTGAGTGGGTGAGTAGGTGAGGAGGTGTGAGAGTGAGGAGGTGGAGGGTGGTGGTGAGTGAGTGAGGAGGTAGAGGTTGGTGGTGAGTGGGTGAGGAGGTGGAGGGTGGTGGTGAGTGGGTGAGGAGTGAGGAGGTAGAGGTTGGTGGTGAGTGGGTGAGGAGGGTGGTGGTGAGTGGGTGAGTAGGTGAGGAGGTGTGAGAGTGAGGAGGTGGAGGTTGGTGGTGAGTGGGTGAGGAGGTGGGGGGTGGTGGGGAGTGGGTGAGTGAGGAGGTGGAGGGTGGTGGGGAGTGGGTGAGGAGGGGGAGGGTGGTGGTGAGTGGGTGAGGAGTGAGGAGGTGGAGGGTGGTGGTGAGTGGGTGGGTGAGGAGGTGGAGGTTGGTGGTGAGTGGGTGAGGAGGTGGTGGTGAGTGGGTGAGTAGGTGAGGAGGTAGAGGTTGGTGGTGAGTGTGTGAGGAGTGAGGAGGTGGAGGGTGGTGGTGAGTGGGTGAGTGAGGTGAGGAGGTAGAGGTTGGTGGTGAGTGGGTGAGGAGTGAGGAGGTGGAGGGTGGTGGTGAGTGTGTGAGGAGGTGGAGGTTGGTGGTGAGTGGGTGAGGAGTGAGGAGGGTGGTGGTGAGTGGGTGAGTGAGGTGAGGAGGTAGAGGTTGGTGGTGAGTGGGTGAGGAGTGAGGAGGTGGAGGGTGGTGGTGAGTGGGTGAGTGAGGTGAGGAGGTAGAGGTTGGTGGTGAGTGGGTGAGGAGTGAGGAGGTGGAGGGTGGTGGTGAGTGTGTGAGGAGGTGGAGGTTGGTGGTGAGTGGGTGAGGAGTGAGGAGGGTGGTGGTGAGTGGGTGAGTGAGGTGAGGAGGTAGAGGTTGGTGGTGAGTGGGTGAGGAGTGAGGAGGTGGAGGGTGGTGGTGAGTGGGTGAGTGAGGTGAGGAGGTAGAGGTTGGTGGTGAGTGGGTGAGGAGTGAGGAGGTGGAGGGTGGTGAGTGGGGGAGTGAGGTGAGGAGGTAGAGGTTGGTGGTGAGAGGGAGAGGAGTGAGGAGGTGGAGGGTGGTGAGTGGGTGAGGAGTGAGGAGGTGGAGGGTGGTGGTGAGTGGGTGAGGAGTGAGGAGGTGGTGGTGAGTGGGTGAGGAGGTTTGTGGGTGGTGGTGAGTGGGTGGGTGAGGAGGTAGAGGTTGGTGGTGAGTGGGTGAGGAGTGAGGAGTGAGGAGGGTGGTGGTGAGTGGGTGAGGAGGTAGATGGTGGTGGTGAGTGGGTGAGGAGGTGGAGATTGGTGGTGAGTGGGTGAGGAGGTGGAGGTTGGTGGTGAGTGGGCGAGGAGTGAGGAGGGTGGTGGTGAGTGGGTGAGGAGGAGTGAGAGTGAGGAGGGTGGTGGTGAGTGGGTGAGGAGGAGTGAGGAAGAGGAGATTGTTGGTGGATGGAGTGAGGCGAGTAGAAGGAGGACGAACAACCACCACCAACAACACCACCACCAAGAAGAAGAAGAGGAGGAGAGGGGTTGTACTGACACCAACAGCAAGTGGTGAGAGTGAGTGAGGAGTGAGGAGGACGCGGATGTAGAGTGAGGTGGATTGAGAGAGGGGGGGGGGGGGAGTGAGGCAAAGACGTGGACTGCCACCACCACCACCAACAACAACACGAGACGAATCCAGAAGTCGTGAGGGGGCAGAGTAGCTCTGAGGAGGAGAAGGAGGAGGAGGAGACAACGAAGTTGCTTGACGGAGGCGGGAGATCCGCGTCAGTCGCGCCTGTGGTCCCCGGGTGAGGAGGAGGAGGCGGCGGCGGTGCCGGGCGCGGGGTCCTAAGGAGAGAGGCGAGACACCGACGCGCGGAGAGACGCGGAGGTGGTGAGACGCTGAGAGATCCGGCGAGAAAGAGAGACACTGAGGGATACGGCGAGAAAGAGAGACACTGAGGGATACGGCGAGAAAGAGAGACACTGAGGGATACGGCGAGAAAGAGAGACACTGAGGGATACGGCGAGAAAGAGAGACGCTGAGAGATACGGCGAGAAAGAGAGACACTGAGGGATACGGCGAGAAAGAGAGACACTGAGGGATACGGCGAGAAAGAGAGACACTGAGGGATACGACGAGAAGGAGAGACACGGAGACACGCGTGGGAGTGGGGGTGACCGAGGTGCGGGCGCCACGCGGAGACGCGGAGCGAGACGCCAGCAGACGCCGCGGAGGCTGCTCTGTGCGGACGCGAAGAGCTCCACAGCAACTTTTTTTTTTTACTTTCGCTTCGTCGCCCGACAGGAGCTTGCGGAGACCCGGAGAGAGAGAAAGAGAGAGACACACACGGGGAGACACGAGGACAGAGAGAGACACACACACGAGGAGACACGAGGAGAGAGAGAGACGCACACGAGGAGACACGAGGAGAGAGACGCACACACGGGGAAAGAGAGACACACACACGGGGAGAGACGAGGACAGAGAGACACACACACGAGGAGAAACACGAGAAGAGAGAGAGAGACACACACGAGGAGACACGAGGACAGAGAGAGACACACACACGAGGAGAGACACAGACACACAGACGGGGAGACACGAGGAAGAGAAGAGAAGAGATACGTGTAGATACTGTACACGAGGAGAGAAGCACACACACACGGGGTGTGTGGGGGGGGGGGGCAACGCGCAGCTCTCCCATGGAAAGACCGCGGCGACACTGCTGAGAGAGGTGCCTCTCTCCACCGTCAAGCCGAGCCCGCCGTGGGCTTCGCTACAGTCGACTCTGGACTGTATTGACCTGTGAGGAGCCGAGATAAGTTTGAGTCGCGGCCACTGCTACTGCTGCTGCTGCCCCCGAAGCGGGGTCAGGGGGGGGGAGCTGTCCAGCAGCGCGTGCTGCTGACCAACTCATACCGCCGTGGGTGGTGGTGGTGGTGGTTGGTGATGGTGATGTTCTTCGTGGAGAAGAAGATGATGATGGTGGTGGGGGACATCAAGGCGGAGGCGATGACGAGACGCGCCGTGGTGGTGATGCTGATGGTGCTGATACTGCTGGGAGCTCGGCCGCCCCAATGCTGGGCTCAAGGTGAGGGGAGCGGACAATATAACACGTGTACATATATACATGCAGCATGCGTTGTACATGCACCGTGCGTATGCGAACATGAGTACACTTAAGATGCATACACACGTATACACGTGCATGCAATATATACGTGCGTACGCGTTCGTGCAGGTACATACACGTGGTGTCCGTGTACATGCATCGGACACACATGTTCGAGTGCATAACACATGCATACACTTTCATACATGTACACACGGGCACGCGACACGTGCAATGAACGTGCAAGTAAGTTCATGATACACATGCAAGAAAATAGGAAATATACATGCCGCATTCACCAACCCGCACTGATCAATGTGGTGAAGTATGTTCAAACAACCCCCTCCCGGTGAGAGGAGGGTTTCCTCCAGCAGTGGAGTGACGAAGGGACTGTCCGTACACGATGTAGCACAGCACGAACACATGTACGCACGGTACATGCAAGATACATACACCTTCAAGTGAACGAGACGTACAATGCACACGTGTACTCGCATGTACACAAGTATGTGCAAGTGCCTGGTATACGGAAGAATGTGTATGTGTATGCCCCTGCAAAGCTATGCAAGTGAGTGATTTCAATTCTCATGACGTGCTCAATGAGTAAGACAGATGACATTTAGAACAAAAAAATGTACCGTGGATTTACCATGTATATAAATATCTGACAACTTCGGTTTTCTAAACTGGTTTCCCGCAATTGAGGACGTGAATGGTTGATTGGTTTCACCGAAAAGTTCCACATCGCTGCTCCCAGTTCTGGTGCGAATACGCGCTTACAAATGTACCCCCCATCATCGTCATCGTTGTCAGTCAACCGAGTAATTCACCTCCTGTAGAGTGTGACGCTGGCGAATAGAAGATTCTCGCGCAAGTACAGGAGGCATGGGTGCAGGCGAATATTCCCGTGGTATGTGGAAGTAGATGCCGTACAATGCTTGAGTGTATTATTACATGAGTGGACAATTAACGTGCAAGTATGCAAGATAAAATACATCGTACAAGCTGCGCGCACGCGTCAAATACATAGCGTATCAGACAGAGATGCACCTTATAGCCTTGGCATGCTGTTGGGGCATGCGCTTTTAGCGAGTAGCACCTATGAAGGCCGGCACGGCGCGAGGGGGTGGCCAGCACCACGTCCGACCGCCTTTATATTCCGGACTGGTTCAGATAATCGTCACTGGTGGTGACCGTGTGCGGGAATCGAACTCGGGACGGGGGGGGGGGGTTCGCCGGGTTCGTAGCGCAGCGTAGCGCTAACCGCGACACTACCGCCCTCCACGTAGTAAAGGGGCATATATGGACGTGTACTATCCACGTGTCATCATTAGGAATCATTAGGAATACAAGTCTGGGGAGGTACTGTCGGATACATGCACGTACCAATACATGCACAACTTATCCACTGCTGGATGAGAGCCTCCCCCACGCCATGCGGAGTTTCCTGGGCATGCTTGCACCACGCTGGTCATTGCGGTGTCGGTGAAGTTGTGGGAGCGTAGATATACCGGGCGCATAAGAGTACAGGACAACGATTGATTTTTCTGCGCTGCCTCATCCGCTGCCCGACCACTCGGTGGCCCGTCAGCAGCCTATAACCACCCGCAAACGCACGGTGGTCACCCATCCTTCGGCTACACTGGTTTAACACCGCTTATCTTCCGAGATCGGACGCATTCCGAGATGATTCTGCTAAAGGCAAATACATATATCGCGCCAGATGGACAACCAGTGTCATACAAGGTGGCTGTTGTTGTAGTTGCATGACATGGTAAATTCCGTACACATTGCCACTCCCTGGCAGGCAAAAAAAAGAACCCCCGTATAGCCTTAATCACAGACTATTGGCGCAAGTGCGGTTAGCGAGCACCTATTAAGGCCGGTAAGGCACACCCGGGCTGGCTGCTTTTGTCACCCAAGTGCTAATGTTCACACCGCACCGGGTACTCATTTTAGGCTAAGTCGACCTATGGGGGAGGCGCAGGACTGGTTCATATATATTCGTTACACATGTGAGCCGCGAACAGGAATCGAACTCGGGCCGCCAGGTTCGTAGCGCAGCGCCGCTAATCACTGCGCCACAGCTCCTACTACCGTACAGTGCAGCAGTTCCCGTGCAATGACCCGTGCACTGCGTAGCTTTAGCTTTATTTAGACTTGCACAGCAACGTAATGCGTCTCGAGGTGGGAAGAATATCTCTCGACACATCACTGAGGGTGGGTTTTAATTGGTCTCGTCTCCGCTTCTCTACGAGCGCGGATCCAACTCGACCGCGTTGCGCCCGGTTAGGGGGCTTGGACCTAACAATATAGTGCGATCCATTTATAGATCACAACCATCAGTTCATGGTCAATCCACTGCTGGATGAAGGAATGCCCTGCTCCCCTCCCGCTTCCCCCCCAAGCCGCCACCTCTCTCGGTACTGCGAGGCAACGATCCATCCAGTAAACCTGCACGCGAATTGATTTCATCGCTCCATCTCCTTGGTCTCAATGCGTTCCATTCCTTGGCTGCCACTCCGTCATTCTTCCTCTTCTCCTCCATGGTTCATAACACTGGTCAACAAAAAAAAAAACATTTTTTTCTGGCCTGGACTTTTGCAGCTGTTTTAGACTAATTTCAGGGTGCTGATTCCAAATCTGATCTCAGATTTGCTCTATCACATCTCATTTTTATGCTATCGGCATACCCCATTTTCATTGATTTTACTCGAAATTAACTCTGTCACTTATGATTGCAAGTTGTTGCGAGTCAGTGACTGCTGTAGTGTTAAAATATGGTGCTGTATTTTTAGGATAATGTGTTTATAATATTATTTTATGTAGATATCCACATTTATTTAATATTTTTCTTCTGCAGTTTTTATTGAAAATGCAATATTTTACATCTCAAAAACCTGTGATAGACAAAAACTGATGCCAGATTTGGAATCAGCACCCCAAAATTACCTTAAAACCGTTGGAATACCTTATGCCAGAAAAAGTGTGTTGACCAGTGTATAATCCCTTCTAGCCGTGACACGTGTTTTGCCCGAGCTCATTTAATTTTATGAATCGTGTGGATGATTCCATTAACCCGCATTGTGTTCTGTATAATCCATGTTCTCTCTGTAAGTGTAATTTGAAGCATGCCATCTTTCTCTCCACGCTTCTGAGCAGAGAATTGATAGGAATAACACAACTACATTTTCATTTGAAACCTCTACACTTCTGTTGTTAAATTGTTTCACACTCTCCTGATACACTTTGCATTCCAACATAGCTGGTGCGATTTTCTGACAACCTGCAATTTGAGAAAGTCGTGAGAAATCGGTGGAGTATCTATAAATGGATCGCCATGAACAAGGACCCATCATTGGTCAAAGCCAGTCCGCTTCGATTTAGGAACTTGTGTGGCCCTTTGTGCCATTGTCCCAAAGTGGCTTTTCGGTACCACCCTGGTTGGCAATTTCTGATAGCAATGTTATTGAAGCTTTGTATCTCTAGATTACAAATTTGCGTGATAGCAAGTCTCGAGTGATTGTGTTTATTCAGAAAATTTAAGTATAATAAAGGTATCATTGTACGCTTCATAGAGTATATCGTATTGGAATAAAATAAGACTATGATATGCAGAATATGACAATATATATGAAGTGTGTGTTAAAACAGATGCTATATACACAAAGCTTTCTGTTAATGGTGAACACTGCCCATGGTGGACACGGCTTATGGTGGACACGATGAGTGTTTGCCACCCCCAGATGGTACCAGCTAACCCCCTTGGCACACCGGCCTAGTACGTCGTCTGGTTAGTTTAGCCGCCTCTAATTGATCGTGGAAGATAAGTCGGCTGCATTCAGCGGTGCTCTCCAGATGCTGTGCGCGACGGGGTCGTAGCTTTATTCTATAATGAGGGTAAGGGTAACGCAAACACACGTGCGATGTGTGTGTACACACGGCGACCCGCGTGTGTGTGTGAGAGAGAGCGAGAGAGTGTATGCACAGCATGTGTATTATAATAATCCTTAAAAAAAGACCCCCCCCCCTTTTGAGGCCGCCTAATTGCACTGACAGCTCAGTGAAAACTGTGGCCTTTTGCATTCGCTTAATATATTCACTTATTTACCCGGGGAGCCTTCGAAACTGTAGCGCTCTTGTGAAATAATAATAATGCAATTTATTTATCGAGGACGGGACGCTGCTGCCGTGGTTGTAATGGTTAGCGGCACACCGGGCTTGCAATTCTAGAGGTCGCCGGTTCGATTCCACCTCGCGGCGCGACACTCGAAACAATGGTGCAAGTTTCTTAAATCTCCTCTGTTCACCCAGCACCTCGCCACCGTGGCGAGATGTTAACTACCTTGCCTGGTATACAGGAGGACGTGGGTTCGATTCCGACCCTGATGCCTGCTGTATATTTTGAGTTTGCATGTTCTCCCTGTGGCCGCGTGTTTTTTTCTCCGGGTCTTCTAGTTGTTCACTCCACGTTTAGAATCGACGTGCGTTTAGAGTATTTGGTTGCTATAAATTTCCACGTGATAAGCCACTTCGTTGAGATATAATTTGTGGCGAGGTCGCTTCTGAAAAAGAGCCGTATGGCTCAGTGGGCCTTACCTGGTAGAGAAAAAAATTGGTGCGCCACAGTAAGTCAATGTGTGGGTACTCCCACCCACCTCTTCAAAAACGTCTGGTCAGCTTGGAATAGTTGGCCAAATACCCTCCAGAGGGAATCTCGAGAGCTCTGTCCAGCCGAGGCCCTTTCACCAGCATTGACGGCCTCGCTGAGTCTCAAGACTCTCTTTGAAGAGAGTCCTGCACAGTGGTGCAGGTATGGGTGTCCAGGTAGCGCATGTGCAGCAAGGCTCACGGGGTCGGATGGGGCCTGGGCGCCAGGCATCAAATGTGAGTGGTAAATTACACAGGGGCCCGTTCCATTAATCGTACAGGGATCCATGCCAACCAAACATCGCCACTCAAATTGGCCCAACATCCAA